TTTTCGATTAGATATCATAACTTTTTGTCAATACACACCAACAAACTATAGCAAGTAAGAAAGTGACACTCGATACTAACCCACATTAGCTTTAGGATCGCAACCCTATTATTCACAACAGACCTTTACTTTTCAGAATCAACCAGATTTTTTAAATATATGGTGGCAGTTTTTCCTCTCTAAAACAATGTTAATAGCTTCCTTTATAGTAACGCCATGGAATTTAGGTTAACAGTTTCTTGTCATCGCCCCTGTGTAATCGGTACAGCCGTATGAAGCATAATCATTTATGCTTTGCTTAAGCTAATATCACGTGACGCTAAACGCTCTTAATTAGGATAATTTCAGTAAATTTGTACTGAAAAGTTCGCAATGAAGAATAACCGTACAGTCGTATTATTCTTTTCAATACTTGAGCTAGAAACTGCTAATCTAGTTTGCTTGGCCTAACCAATACTTGTGTATCTGCACGTCCTTTCACCTTATATTTTTGCTGCTCTAAATCATCCATCTTTAATCGGAGTGGCAAAAAACTAAAAACGGTCCACTTTTACTCTTAGTTGAAGCTGTAGTAAAAATGTTAGACCGATAGCTCACGTGACTTTTTGCGTAGCCGTGCGCAAACATTTTCGTCAAATTTGAGCAGTTTTTGTTGAATAACTTTGCACAGGTGGCTTATATTTAAATCCAATGATACTCCTAATAGTAGTTTGTAAAGACCTATCAGTGACCAAATTAAAAATAAAATCCATAAAAGTTAAGTATGTTTTTCTATCAAATAGTTTCCGTACTTATGGTACGAGGCCCGGCATGTCCAGGTCGCTAGGGCGCTCCACTCGCAATCTGAGGGTCGCGGGTTCGAATCCCCGTCATACCAGACATGTTCGCCCTTTCAGCCTGTAATGTAGCCCAAGAGTTGGCGGTGCTGCCTTCCCTATAGTCTTACACTGCTAAATTAGGGACGGCTAGCGCAGATAGCCCTCGTGTAGCTCGAAATTAAAAAACTTATGGAACGACGAAAGATAAAAAGACAAAAAACTCAATCAAAATTGGAGATGTTATATCTCAGGCATTTCTTAATGGATTGCCTTGAAATTTGATCCGTGATATAAGAGTCCAGTAGAGCACACCCACTGAACATATGTGATAGTTTGGATTAGCACAGTCCGAGATGCAGAAGATGGAAAATCGCTAAACTATCACTCCTGTTAATAATACACAGTGTGTCCTGCAGCAGGTTGTTTTAATCGCACTACACACTACCGTGTGTCTTGATCTCGCGTATCTATCTGTCTATCTGTATAAACATGTAGTCAGCCAACGCGCACATATATACACGCATTTATCTTTATCTGTGTAAACACTTAGTCAGCAAACAGAGATATATATATATATATATATATATATA